TGGTTCTTTTTTAATTAATTTTAGAATCAGATTTTGAATGAAATTTGAGTCAAACTAGCATGTTGCAAGTTTTCAGAAAAGGCATCTTTTGTGAGCATCACATACTTTGCGAAAAGAAATTGTGAGAGTGATTGAAGATGTCAGCGGAACAAGAATGTAAATTTTGTAAATTTTGGTAAACCAAAATTTTAATGAAGAAGCGCATTATCGAAGCTGCTTTTTGCTAATAAGTTGCACTGAATATTCTTATGCCTTAAAAAATTACTTCAAACATATTTTTGTGAAACGGAGATCGATCGAAAAAGAGTTTCGAAAAAAATTGCCATTGGCGAGCGAAACTTTATGGCAATGTATGTGACCCGTTATTCTGTCAGGGCATTAGCTATTTTTGGCACCAAAGAGCTATACCCTAAATTTCGGAAGATTGTGTACAGTTAGGATCGAGGAAAGCAAGAAACTATTGAGAGTAATCACTGTCAAAATCTTTCGTTTCTCGAAGAGTTACAAAAATTTTATAGTTTGGTTTTTTAACTGGATATTACATTTTGATTGCGAGAAAAGAGAATGTATATAAAGCAGTCGCAATCTAAAACACCAAAAGCTTTAGAAAGAACAAAAGCTTGATAAAATACAGCACATTTATAGAACCTTCATACAACAAGTGAAATCATTCGAGTAAAGAAAAATTTGTGCTTAACAATCAGAATTGTCTCAATTAATTCCTCAGCAATGATTCAAGTAAGTAGCCTCAGTAATCTGCGATATGATGTAGTACACGGTTTTCCTTGTAATATATTAACACAGAAGGGTTACGGCCCTTAATCTTACACCTTCAAATATTAGTGTGGTCACTTTCACACTTGATTTGTATTGAATATATACATGTATATATTAGGTGGGTCCGAAAGTTCGTGCCATTTTTTAGACCTTTCTAAAATCGTTCAAATGTCCGATGCAGAACTTCTCCTCTTTTCGCAGCTGTGTTCACACCGTGAGTGCTCCGAGAGCGCTGAGATAATTGCCGAAAACTAGAACCCTTCATTTTTATCATGTCTGATTTTCGCTAGTTTTCAGAATTTTCATTTTAGACTTTTGAAGGTGCTCTGGTAATCATCTTATAAGGCAAACCTTTTTCAAATTAATGCAATTCTTTGGATCTTTTTGGCGTGCTTCCTAGAATTACTTAAAGGCAGTGGCTCGGAAAAACCAAACATACAAAAATTTTGATACGGATGGTTTCCTGCATCCCAAACATGAGAACAGAGCAGGACCGAGCGCACAGCATGCTGCCCCTGCCTGGAAAAGTGCCCCTAAACCCGTGCGTGCAAGCCATTCTTACACGCGCTCGGATGAGCTTGCGGTACCCCTCCCACCGTCAGAGGTGGCATATCGCGATGCTATAAACGTGATATAATAAAGCGCTAAGCGTCTGTCTGTCTGTGTGTGTATGTCTGTCTGTCACGAAATTCACAGAGTGAGTTGCAGCCAGCGTCTTGATCTAGAATTTTGGTCAGAGCACCCAGTCAGCGTGTAGGTAAACTGTGCAAAACCACAAGCCGATCCAGTAGGTGGAACCATCGAAAACTGTGCGTAAGGCCCCCGGCAGACTTCGCGCGATTTGATCGTCGCGGCTGAATCGCGACGAGACAACTGTTACAACATCATTCCATGCCGATCACTTGCATTCGGTTGTGTTACTTTTCCAGGCCGAAATTTTTGGATGTAAGGCCCCGGACAGACTTCACGCGATTTGATCGTCGCGACTGAATCGCGACGAGACAACTGTTACAACATCATTCCATGTCGATCAACTTGCATTCGGTTGTGATTTTTTTCCAGCCCGAAATTTTTGAATGTAAAATGAAAATGAATGGAAATCTCGGCGATTAGATCGCGACGATCAAATCGCGTGAAGTCTGACCGGGGCCTAAAACGGATCCACGCGACTTTTGGCCGCCAGAATGGGTCGGTAATTGGACTTTTTTGCAAAGACTTGGACTTTTTTAGCAAGTGAATCCAAAAAACATTGACTTCAGCTCAAAAAGTGAGCAAAAGGTCTATTTTTACACGAAATTGGCGCCAAAAAGATGTAACTGAGCAAATTGTCGATTTGCCAAGTTTTTACTATAAAAATTGAGAGGATTTTTGAATAGATATGTAGCCCAGGGTGGTCTTTATCTTTATGGCGACTATAAAGCCAAAATAAATTCGGTAACCCATTCAAAATCGCATTTGTTTTCTGCGGGAAAATTTTTTCTCCCAAAATTACCGATCTCACATGGAAAAGCTCTAAAAATGAATGGTTGTTTACAGTTCATTCGTTATGTTCAGCGTCGCGCGGTGAGTTTCAAAGTCATTATTATGCGATCACGAAGAAGGCATGGATAGTAAAGCCAGTGGGAACCTCTGAGCAGGGGTGACGCGCTGGTAAACGCGTGATAATCCCGCAACGACTCTACGTCTTCAACTATGACGTGAAGCGTCACTCTCGTCCAAGTTCAAAATGATGAGTCTCGGAAAACGCTAGTTTTCGCCGTTTTCGCTCCCTTCAATGTGTATTTTCGGAATTAGAGCGTCGAATACCCCAAGTAAGCGAAAAACTCGAGGTCGAGGATTTGCCGAGCCACTGCCTCTAAATATATTTTCTGAAGTGACCAAATTTTATATTTGGCCCATTCTAACCTCGCAAAACATCAGACGTTAAACAGTTTAGGTATTATTCAATGCATCTTTTCTCCTCTTTCTGACAACTACCCTTTCTTCACCGCGAAACATGCGACCTTTGCACACAACATCGCTGTATTTCCCAATTTTACGGGTGCGCAAGGTCGTAGCCGAAAACCAAAATCTATTCATTTTCACGCCCTAATCGCTCATTTACTTCGTAATACTAGTGATAGTAATAACCGAGTTTAAGACGTTTCGGACCGCGAAATCGCGCGCGGCGAAAAAGGGTGCACTCTCAGTCGTTAGCCAACAAAGGGACCTTATTTCGCAAACTATGTGCTACATTTGTAATCAGCTTGTCAGATAAGTTCCATACACAAAGTTCTGAGTGGATTAGAAGTGTTTGAAGTTTGCCGCTTGTGAAGTACTTCTGTACTTTCCTGGAAGATAGGAACAAGAACTCAGTTTCTGATAGCATCCAAAAGTATCTATGTTGTAGACGGTACACATCAGTATTGAAACTGCGGTTTTTCTCTTTGATATCGAAGCAAAGGAAATTTGCGACGTCGCACGCGTCGTTCGCGTTGCCGCACTTCATTGCAACTGTTGTTCGATTTGTGCTCATGTCTCCTAAACAAATATCGGCGGCACAAATTTACAGAGTCATTTGAAAAGTAGAAGCTTAGGCCTTTGACTTGATAACCTTGGGCTAAAAGAAAACCTGTAAACGTCAAAAAGATCCTTTAAAACAGGGTGCTGCACCATGTGCAGCACCGGTCCGAAACGTGTTAAGAACAATATTTTGAGGATTTCGTAGTGTTTGGTGCAATTATATGTCACGCGATTTTTTCATAATTCCGTGCTTAGTAAAATAATTCTGCAAAATTCTAAAGAGGAAGCTGAAAAAATGCAGAAAATTGCATCAATTTGAAAAGGTCTGCCTCATTAGAACGTTATTAGAGTACCTTCAAAAGTCTAAAATGAAAGTTCTGAAAATTAGCGAAAGTTAGACATGGTAAAAATGAGGGGTTCTAGCTTCCGGCAATTATAGGCTCGTCGGAGCACTCACAATGTAAACACAGTTGCTGGAAGAGGAAGAGATTCTGCATCGGACAGTCTTTGAAGTATATGTCTATCATCAATCTAAACGATTTCAGAATAGGTCTAACAGCGCGAACTTTCGGACCGACCTAATAAACAACGAGAAACTTTGCGTTTTCTTGGTAGTAAGACTAGTTGAAATCTATGTTTAAAAAATAACTCCATTGCTTGTTACTCGCTATTATTGTTTGTCAATAAAATTTTATCAGATCGGTGATTCTGGGCCAGTAGTCACTAGTTACCGGCACTATTTCTCAAAAATCCTATCTGAAGAATGTCTTTGTTTTTTTTCGCTCTTTTACTCACTCTAAAATTGGCAAGCAGCAAGCGCCAGCGTTTTAGCAAGCTGAGCTGTTCTAGCACCTAGGATTTGGTGTATCATTAGGTACCCGCTGTTAGAGCAAACAAAGGGCGTGGCTTAGTTTGTACCACTAATGCCTGGGTACCTAACACCCGTGTCTCGGCTGGGTACCTAACGCTCGCCCCCCCAGTTGCTCGTAACCTGAACCCGATCGAGATTGAATCTGGATTCGATCAAGGTTTGCTCAGGCTCGGTTTGCTATGTCAGCACTCGCACTTCCTATGAATCAAGCTCAAGACTCATTTTTCAGTTCAACAAAGTCGTTGAAGAGCTTGGTCCTGCTGTTCCGCCCAAGCTTTCTGCCCTTCTGAGCTCCAGAGTTCGTTCAGTCAGCGTGTGGATGAAGACTTTTGGTGACAGTGTTATTAGCAACGTCACTGTGATAATGCGGCAGATCAAAGCGCAGATGTAATGGAGAAAATTGATCGACTGAAGGTTGCTGATGCCGACGCACCGGCGTTCTATGCTTGCATTCGTATAAATTCTTTGATTTCTATTCCGTGAGCCGGGTCTAGGTCATTTTAATTTTTGACTTAGCTTTTCAATGCGGGTAATTATGCACAGGACTCACAACTTGCTGCTGAGACACCATAGTCACTGTCAAAATCGACTTCGTTAATCCTGACAATCTCCACACTTGGTCTCTCTCTCTCTCTATGTTAGCTTTTTCTATATTTTCATCGAAAAATTCGATTGTCAGACCAGCATGTGTTTCCTATTCATCATATCAATGTGATCTCCGCTTTTTGATCTGCAGATATTATTGATTGTTATTGCTGCACTCTCATAGTTTCGCTGATAGATACTCACAAACACATTGTCATTTTTTTATCATGAGTAGACGAAGCTTCGCGCATTTCTTTTAGAGCTAATGTTCATCAATTTATGTATGTATACAACTAGACCGTCTCTGTCCGGTCCAGGTTTGTAAATCAAAGTTTTTCGTACTTTTACTATTGCATATCTCTCCCGCGATCAAACTGATTTCTGCCTTTCAGATATTATTTCTACAAATGAAAATATATTTTGTCAATAAATGTTAGCTGGGTCGCTGTGTTTTTCAAAAGTAGCTGTATAGGGGCTTTACAAAGCAGTCGAAAAAGCCTGAAGTCGCAAGCATTTGATTTGAGCACACGCGGAAAACGACAGTGCGTGCAAAACGCAAGCATCATAAAATCCCTCCTGCCTAATGTTGCTTATAACATGGAGCGTGTGTGCGTCATGTGCGTCATGTATCAGTCCAATCTACCACGTGTGTTCCTGTCACCGGAAACGCTAGAGGAGTTTTTAGGGGCCTAAAATTTGTAACTGTCGCACTCTGCGCCACACCCTGGAAGTGTTCTACCTTTTCTCCAGATGCATCTGTGCAATTTTAATTAGAACGACGGAAATAGTATGCCCTTACATGGGCTCAAGCAGAATTAACGGAATCCTTTGAAAATGGCATTCAGATCTACTGCCATGAATGCTGGGACTTCTCAATAAATTCGATGAACTCCTTCTCGAAGAGAAAGTGGCTATCATTGGTAAAGAAGCGCATATGACGAATATGTAAGCTTCCTCCAAACCGAAATACGCTCCGGAACCACATGCACTATCTAAGCAAGCTCAAATCCTCCATCCGAAGAGGTTGATGTCATAACGGGGCGTGACTGCTATGTTTTCGGCATGGATACTCAGGCTGCCCAGCCAAAGCTGCTGCTCACCTCACTCTGTGGGGCCTAACTTGGGCTGGAGCAATTGCTCGAGCCATTGATATCACAAGGTAAAAACACTGTTTGAGCTTCAAGCTAGTATTGCGATCAAAACGGATTGGACGAAGAAGTGCTGGAAAAACCCGGGAGAGATCAGGAGCAGGAACTTGCGCAAGCAGAGGTAAGCAGACCTATTGCGTAAATATTTGCATTGCCCTTAGAATCGTAAACCCGTGACTTGCAGAATTTTTTCGGTTTTTAGGCGTTCGTATTTTATTTCGGTCTCTTTAAGTATAGAGCATTCATGGGTTGTGTGCTCACATGCATGCACGGGACGTTTTGAGAAAGATTAAGCTGTTGGTGTCTTTCAAAATTATGTAGTTGTGGTTGTAATTGAACGACTATCGTGGAAATTTTACTTGCATCTGTTGGTGATCTTTTCTGGAAGTTTGTACATCATAACGGCTTCTTTGGGTATGTAGGCAAGAATCGCAAGAAAATGCAATCGGTATTGCATAGGCAAGAGTCGCAAAAAATGCAATCCATATTACAATGTTGCAAAAAAATTCAGTAAGTCCAGTTCTATGCAACAATCTTACCAAAACAAGGAAGAGATGAGTCACACAGCTCCAGTGATGACTGAGCCATGGTCCCATAACACATTGCGGCGCTTTCATAGGATTAGCGAAAACAATCAAGGGAGCTCAACGGCCTTTGACAGGTGTAACAAGTGAAAGAAGTCTTCCCCTAACTTGAACATCATTCTGCAAATCTCAAAACATTCCGTATTCAGAGATGATCTTTTAGAATGGTTTCTGTTGGAGAGAGAACAATGGAAGCGATGGAGAACAGTCTCTTCTTTGCTGGCAGAGGGTGCGTCAGTTTTTTTTTTGATTTTGTGTAAACATCCTCAGAAATCCAAATATATTTATGTTGATTTTAGCGAAATCAACCGTATAATATTTTTTGCTGCAAATATATTTCTTAAAGAGCTAATCTACAGGTAGGATTGTTTAACGTGCAATGTCGCTAAAAGCCTCATAAGATGAAAACGCTTCCTTACCGCTCCCTTCTTTTTTGTACTAAAATGCGAGGTTTCGGGCTTTGCTACTTTGAGTGCTTTCATAAGTTTCCATGGCAGCGAGAGGGCCAGATCGCTTCCATTCACTCGACTAAAAGTGCGGGCTAATAGTCGAAGAGTTTCCGCAATACCTTATAGGTGCACATAGAGTAAACGTGGCCAGGTATTAGACCTTTGCCCAAATCGCATAGGTTCATGCTACAATTACATACTTTGAAAAAGATCTGAAGCCAAACATGGATTTTCTAGGCCAAATTTGCGATTTGCATACACGTTTTTTTGCACTAAAACAACTCTGACCGTCATCTACAAGGGTGTTTTTGCAGATCATGGGAAAATTCAAAAGTAAGGGTACTATGTTGCATCTGAAGATATGCAGCTTGTTTGGATTGGTCAATTCGACTTCTGAGCATATAAGAGAAAGAAAATGACGAGTATGTCCTACTCTCCTCCGTGAAACCAAATGTGCCGCTGCCAGTGTTTGCACCCGAAATGGCAGTTCGTGTAATTATTTAGTGATGTCGCGCAGCGCCGGATGACTGCCACTAAGGACCGGAAATATGTTAGCGAGGGCCTGAATGTTTTCCATCGCAACGTTTCCGCTTGCTAGCCTAATGCATTTCTAACTGCGCTAGGATTCCTTGAAGGGGAGCGAGGTCAAAGCTTTTCTGGAGAGTCGTGATTGTGCGATACTCCAAGAAAGGAGACAGTTTTTCATAATCAGAGCAGTTTGAGACTAAAGCACTTAAACAAGGCTTGCCAAACATGAATATTGTAATGTTTGGCAATTCCGCGAGATTTCCATATCCCAAAGAGTTTTGCGATAAATCAATTTTTTAGAGTCATCCGTACACACCTTTGCACACAAAAAATCGTCCTGTTAGAACTTTCGCCATTGCCTTGCATGCTCAGTCTATACTTCCTTGGTTGATCTAAAACATCCAAATAATCCCATTTCCCAATGTTTCCGAATTGCGGAGTGCGTGATTGACGCACCCTTACTCAAAAAAATTTGTCCCTCCCTCCCCCCCCCCCCTCTCCCCAAACGGAGATCCTGTGACCGCCACTGCTATGTGCCTACAGTCCACCAGGGCTACAAATCGTGATCACTTTCAGAGACCAAGGCTCGAGTTTTCACAACCAGATTCTTTTCACGGAATTGTTTCAGTGTTTGACGGGACTGCCTTGGAAAGAAACTTCTAGCCATTTTACAATTGAGTTACGCGGAGAGCGTGCTTTATAAATAAAAATCAAAATGAGTGGCATTCAGCCATGACCTAATCTGCAAATCTTCTGCATAGCTTGGTCTCTGCTGCTGCTGCCGAATTTTCGAAAGCAGACTACGACTGTGCTAAACAATTTCTAAATGATCCTCAAACTTTTCGTAGTCACTGTAGTTGTTTATGTAAGCCGCACTCGAGATTGGTAACAATTATTTATTGGGTGGCTGACGTCTCGGCAGATCGCCTTCTTCAGAGCCTGGAATGAGCAAAACGATCTGCAACCTATCCGATCAAACGTCTCTGCAGCTCCACAAGCAAAGTTCTAGGACTCTGCCTGTTTACTGACTAGACTGCCAAACCAAACACTTACCTTTTTGAAAATGCCGATAGCATACAAGTGCCTGAGCGAGCGCTAATGAATGGCCACGTATGCCACGCTATTTATATGCCTACAGTGAGTCAAAAGAGGTGACCCAGGTAAGGTGCAAGTTCACGAGTGATAGAGAGGCACTCCTCCTTGCGATTCATTTGTGGACTTTTTGCGTGAATCCAAAAGGCTTCCAAACATTTGCGAGCTGATGTTTGGGATTCATGCGCTAAGATCTTCACTGAAACTTCAAAGTTTTCTCCAGCGTGCTTCAGCAGCCTGTGAGTGCCTAGAGGTGTGGTCGTGCGTGATCTATCCCTGCCGTCTAAATGCTCCTTAATGCGGACGCATAGAGGGCGCGCCGTTTCGCCGATATACGTGTCGCCGCAGCCCGCGCAGATGATTAGGTAGATGACCCCTGACGTCATGCAGTCCCCGCCCCTGCCCGCAGGGCAGATAATGCAATTAGGCGTTGTGCAGGTGCGATCGTAGATGCGATTGCGGACCAAAATACCTTTTAGGTTATTTGGGGGTTTCTCCACCATCGCAACAGAGCCTTTTGGATTCACGCAAAAAGTCCACAAATGAATCGCAAGGAGGAGTGCCTCTCTATCACTCGTGAACTCGCACCTTACCTGGGTCACCTCTTTTGACTCACTGTAGGCATATAAATAGCGTGGCATACATGGCCATTCATTAGCGCTCGCTCAGGCACTTGTATGCAATCGGCATTTTCAAAAAGGTAAGTGTTTGGTTTGGCAGTCTAGTCAGTGAACAGGCAGAGTCCTAGAACTTTGCTTGTGGAGCTGCAGAGACGTTTGATCGGATAGGTTGCAGATCGTTTTGCTCATTCCAGGCTCTGAAGAAGGCGATCTGCCGAAACGTCAGCCACCCAATAAATAATTGTTACCAATCTCGAGTGCGGCTTACATAAACAACTACAATATTTACGCCATGCCGAAGTTCATAGAGAGTCGAACAATCCATTTTCGTAGTCACCTTGAGATTTAGAGCCGGCTGGGCTTTTTTAATGTTTTGGAAATTCCCATGAGATGGGATAGACACTTCTGAGCTGATTGTGCTTTGATTCTTTTTGGATGTCTTAATTGCATCTATCAAATCACTTGCAAGCTTCTTGATAGTTTTCAAAAGCTCCAATCTAACTCAGGTTTACGTTTTTCATAGAGCACGCTGAAGTTATGCAATTCTTGAGCGCTCTCACCACGTGATTTAGGTTATTGTGTCATTTTCGTTTTTCCTTTCTAAATGAGAAGTTGAAATCTCCGTAGCCTTCATATCATTTTGGCGTCGATGGCAAATAATCTCTTTGTACCAATTCTTACATAAAAATCAAACTAAACTGCTAATATACCTCGTTTGTAAAGACGTGACTTGATGGATAACAGTATTTTTGTTTTTGTCTCTCACCCTAGGAAAGACAACCAGTTTGGAAGAAATGTGTAATTTTCATTTTAATGAAAGATTATGTTACATCTTATGGACTCTACAGTCAGCAAATTCGGATGATTGATTAGAGATACGTGACGACAAGTTTGTTGCGGTCTTTTACCCCCTCCCCCTTTTCCCAAATGTCACAAGAGAGTAAAACGCTCAAAGGAGTGCCAATGCTCTGATCGGTCACTTGCAATATCCAAAAGCTGTCATATGCAAGCAGAGAAACGGTTCGAGTAGATACAGAAACTAAGAAAGTGCCGTGTTGCATACTTGAAGACGCATCGTCACGATTCTATGAATACCCTTTACATGTTTCATATCACGCGATGACCAAAACTCCATGGATCCATGCCTGCGCAGCAGAGTCCTTTATTCGCTAATCAGCCCGCTATAGATTGGTAAAAAAACAAGTCTCAAGTTCTTATCCCATAAATTCATAAAACCTATGAGTTCATCCTATTGTGCTCAATGCTGTGCCACGTGAGGATACATATCTAATTGCATCCAATAAAACTGCGTCACTAACTGCTGATTTTTTTGGAATTAGAACAGAGAGTGGCAAAAGTTGTTCGTTTTGTCCACCATGTTTTTCTAGCCGAGCCTTACTTGCAGCATCATGTTTCATCACTTATCTCTTATGTTGTGAGTGGTGGATATGGTACCATCAACACGTGCACGAGAATACGACTCACCGGTGGGTCGCACGTGTCCTGCCGTTTCGGAAAATACGACTCACCGGTGGGTCGCATGCTGTCTGAAGTTTTTGGTTTTACTAGTTTACCATCTTTTTGGGCAAACTGAATAAATTTTTTGAACCTCTCTTGAAACACTTCTTAAAAGATGACACTTCAGACCGTAGGACCAGTCAATGGCCAGAAAATACCACGCAAACTCAATACTGCGCAATGTGCTTTGGTCCGAAATGGCAGTCATCGAAAAATCGTCTTGTCGGAATGTAATAATCGCAAGTTACATCAAATTTTGCTGAGCAGTGGGAAGAGCTGAAAGCAGTGGCGATCAAGCCTTGTTCCGATATCATGGTATCATTGTCATATCGCTTCGTTATTGGCTACAGCTTCGTGTTTCTCTGCTATGATTCTCGGACAACACGAGAAATCACAGTCAATGGGTCACGCTTTGTAAATTACTCGAGAATTCTGTACGACAGCTCTCTTCTCACGTAACAGGCTTCGCATCCAGGAGAAGCGTCATAGAGAGCCGCACTAGCGCCTACTGCTGATGCTAGCGCAGAGGCGCGGTATCCATGGAGATCGTTAGACATGAAGTATTGTTGGCTAATAAGGCACCCAAAGCTTGTGTATTAATGCGTGTTCTTCCACTTTTTAGTCACTTTTCGTAGATGACATTATTTTTTGATATGAGCTGTAAGTAGAAGGTTTTAAATAAATAATAAAGCGAAGTTTTCGACACCTCTGGGATGCGTTCGCTCATAATGAAGTCATAAGGACATTGTAATAAGTGCTCAATTTCTAGTATAATACTCATCTTTGCTACTATACAATATTATGAAAGGATTCTCTACGAGTTGGTGCGATTCGATCTAGAGCAAGAACTCTGGACAAACATTGCAGACGTCTTCTTTCTGTCTCATAAACTCCAGATCTGCAATCAGTCATATATGCAATCTTTTTTCCATTCGTCCGCTAATTTAAGGAGTTCAGATGATCATAGTTTCGACTCCTTTCTTTGTCTATTGGCTAGCACTACCAAAAGATGATCATTCTCATTTTGCGCGGTTTGAGATGCAGAACTGTACAGGTGTGGTGATAACTGACACGGTATCCCTACGGTATCGAAAGATCGCGCACAAATAATTCGCTGTACTTGTGATAACGATATCTGAGCTCAAAAAGTAGTAGTGATGCACATGTTTGAGCTCTTTTCGCCAACGCCATTTCTCGCACGCACTTGTTGTTGGCAATGCATATGCACTAACATCAAAGCGACCGGGCTGTACTTATGTAGTACTAACTGGCGTACACGGCCGCTCGGACCGTGGGTCTGAACACCTGATGCCGCGAAGGGACCAAAATCGTTCCGTAAGCGTCCAACATACCCTTCCTAAGTTTCTGTTCTTCTATTCTTCTTCACCCTTTGGCAAGTTCTTCCTTTTTTCTTTCTTGCATCAGCTCTAGACCTGCGCCTGCCGTTCCTCTGGCTCTTGCGTTGAACTGTCCTTCATCCTGGCTGCATCGTTTTGTAATACCATATCCTCCTCACCGCGAAATGAAAATGAGCCTCACCACCCGGTTTACATGAATATTGGAGAATGCTGATTAGTACATGATCAACTTCCATTTCTCTTGATTTGATAAACAGATCAATAAATTGATAGAAGGACCCAGCGAATTCCAGTGAAAAGTAGCCTGAAACCGTCTTCGAGGTCGAAAATATCCGTGTGCAAACTTTCAGCCCGATAGGTTAAGAGGCACGCGTTTCTATAACGCACATACCCTCCAGACAGACAATTTTGAGTTTTATATATATAGAGATAATTCCCACGCATACTTGCGTTAGTGCGACATCTTACAATAGATACTAACATAAATAGATACAATAGATACACATTTAAATGTGGTGTAATCCAATGAAGAAAACTGATTATCATCAGGATAGCGTAGTGTTCTGGAATCATATACATTTTCGATATTATTATCACTAATAATAAATTTTTGGGTCCTACACTATCAGAAGCGCTACTACATTGTTGCCAGATGTTTATAAAAATCTTATGTATTTATATGAATAACTCTCAACAGTTCGTTACATGGTTCTGATATTTTGTAGAGCTAACACGAACTATAGTTTCCGTTTTATTCGCGTTCTCCAAGAATGGAAAATTTGCTTGAAGGAAGCTTGCTATTTCGTTTATGAGAGATCTTCAGAGTTTTATCTGCCAAGCTGCTACTTGATACACCCACTTTTCAGCTATTAAAATCAGGAACCTTTCAGAGGCCGGCGAAAACTGGAGGCTATGGAGAAATACGAGAAACTTGCAAAAATAGGAGAAGGTTCATACGGTGTGGTGTATAAGTGCAGGAATAGAGAAAACGGGCAGGTGAGTATTTGACTAATACAATCTCTACTCTAATTATTGGATGGTATCCAGGGTTGAGCTTGGGGTCAGGCGCGCCCGACCTGGGGGGTCGTACTGGGGTAAGACAGAGGGGGGGGGGGGGAGGGTCGTGATTAGGAATCGAATTCGTTCGATTGAGGAGATACTACGATTAAGGTGAAGAAGAAAAGCGCTAGTTTAGTGGATATCGCGACCTCACCAGTACTGAAGGAATGAACGGTCTTAAACAGCATACTGATTGCTTCCACAATCGAAGTTTCGGCCAAAACTCAAATCTTCATCTTCTACCTTGACATATATAAATTCATCAAGGAAGCTTGCTGTGTGAAATGGGTATCATTTCCGAGCACGTCAAATTACCTCTATGAGCCCTACAAACCATTATTTATTGCATTATCTAGTGTTTCTCAACGACTAAAAAGCGTGATTTTCAAACATGATTAACTTGTTTTCAAAAGTGAGAAAAGTCAATTTTTTTGTACTCGTAACAAAGTATTGTTCCCTACTAGTCTAGGCTAAAAATCGCGCTTTGTATCGCTTGCAAATAGTGGAGTAAGAAATAATGCCAAAATTCAGACCGGCGCGTTTTTCGCCATGACTGCTTCAACTCCACGGATTACCACAAGGCCGAAACAAGTCGAATCAAGTCCAAACACTTACTGTGGAATCTTCGAGGGTTGTGCTAGCGATTCACATAAAACTTGAATAAAAAAGCTTCTTCAATGATAAAGTTAATCGGGTCAGGCGCAACCCCACAAAAGGTCAGGCCGCCTGAGCTTTTGAGGGGTTGCGCCTGACCCGATTAACTTGTTTTCAAAATCTAAAAATCGCTCCATTTCTGCTATGAGTATTGAACTCAAAGCCTCTTCTTGCAATACTGCAAATTTGGAGCCAAACAATACACCCCTGTGGGAATTATAGCTCTAAAAGCAGGGCTATCCAAAATTCAAAACTTGCCGTCAAGTTGCGTGTGCTGTGCAATCGCAGAAAGTCGACCTACAGACCTCCAAAAAACAAGAACCTCCCAAAAACGGCTGATCTCTTCGAATTATCACAGCCTGAGGTCCTGGAGGTGAAGCAGAGGGGTCGTTTAGGGGCTTTCACTGGGGGGGGGGGGTCGTTTTGGAAAGACTTGTGCCTGACCTCTTGCTCAGCCCTGATGGTATCTCTCCCGTTCAGATAGTGGCCATAAAAAAGTTTGTGGAGACCGAGGACGACCCACAGATCAAGAAAATTGCTTTGCGGGAGATACGAATGCTAAAGGTGCGTTGCGCGTTTCCCAGTACCATCTCTTCAATTTCTCTTTCTTTGATATCGAGAGGAAAAGGTAGAGACATAGAAGCGTATGAGGCCACCTCCGTTGTTAAGTGAATAAATCCTTGCTATCGATCGCTCGTACTTCACTCTTTGGTATGTAAAAATCCAAATATTAATGTCTAGTTGTCACTGAGATCAAGTGGCAGATGTATGACTGAGTTGCAGTCGCTCATTCGGTCTGATGTGGCAGTCACTTGATTTTGTTGAGTTTTTCTCTTCGTAACGATAGTGTAAAGTTTCATACTAATCTACTACTTATGTCTCATGTCGATATTAGTGTTAGTGGTTCACCTCCAAGCAAACCTTGGTTTTTACTCGAAGAAATTATGAGTAGTGTTGTGAAGTAATTGACTAGCAGCTATGAAAAGTTTTTTTTTTTACTTTTCGTGTGCTACATCACGTCATTATGGAAAAAATGATGTTTGAAAGCAACTATGGTTTTTTGAATTAACATTTTGATTACAAGCGGCGTAAGAACGGATCGTTTCCCTTTCCGAGACGAACTTCTGTCTCAAGGAAAGGAGTTCCTTCACCAACCGAAATTAGTTCGCTGGCACATCTTTCAATATTGTCCAACTTCGGTTGTTTATTAATCTTGTCATCGATAGTTGATAATCGCTTGAGCTTATTGAGCGTCGACCAAGATATTAACCACACTTTATTCATGGTTAACGGCGGGATCGCCTTCGTCAGAACCTATAAAGTCGACATAAGTGAAGTTTTGAAACATAAGTTTTTGACTTTCTAGGCTCTGACGAAGACGATCCCGCCGAAACGTTGGCCGTGAATAAAGTGTGGTTAATATCTTGGTTGACGCTCAATAAGCTCAAGCGATTATCATTCCTCCTAACTTTCACAAAAGTGATTTGAGCTTGATTGGTCTTTTCTAATAAGAAAGGATAAAGGATCCGGCGTCTTCAATACCCTCTGCGGGCATGCACCGAATGCACACTACTTCATAATCGAAGAGGCAATTGTATGCGTGCGAGTCAATTACAGTGACTTGCGGGAGCCAGCCGTTCAAGTCAGTACTTTTATCCTCCCAAATTACTGTGGTACCAATTTACCGGCCCCGGAGGGTAGGCTTGGTTGGCTCAGGGGCGGGGATCGAACCTGTGTCCGATCTGGTCATAGCGGCGCCTCATACCACCACGCCACTCGTCCCCCGTTGGTCTTCTCTAGTCTGAGAAATTTTAAATGAAAAATGGGAAGAAATTTTGACTCGCTCTTAATTTTGAACAATACTTCGAGTGGGATTCCAAAGGTAAGCAAAGAAGTGGTAGTTCTTTGTATTAAGTGCGAAAAAAAGTAGTTAACTTCGCTTTGAAACAAAATTAATTATTGGAAAGTGACCATCGCGCTTGAGTGGCCTAGTATTTGGAAACCTCAAAATTCGCTAAAATGGCCCACAGGGGTTACTTTTTTTTACTTAGATTACTTAGATGGCCCGTCCTCACTTGTCGTGCGGACTCAACTTTTGACCTTCGTTGGGGTTTCGGGCAATCGTCATCCATGAACTCTCGATACGAGTCTGCGATTGCTGGATGATCCTGAATTAGACTCCAGCTGCTGACGCAACTGGTTGACGGTCAACAGATACGTCGCACCATCTCTTTGGTGGTCTACCACGTGGACGTCCAGAGGCTCTTGGAATCCATTCCAATGTTCTTTTGGTCCATCTGTCATCTACTGTCGTCATACTTTTGGTTACCGCTTCCATTTCTTTTGGTCTGAAAAGTCTGAAGAAATGTCGAAGAGATTTACGCGAATACGAGCTAGATACAAGCTCTACTGAGTAGGGAGAACGGAAGATTAGTAAACTCTCGGCGCGAAATGGAAGCGGTAACGGAAAAATTCTACAACGAACTCTTTCTGTCCAGATGCCAGTACCAGATCCTGTCATTCCCATTGGAGAACCACCGCCAAGGATCCTCCTTTCAGAAGTACTACGCGCAGCCATAGCATGCTTGAAACCAGGCACAGCCCCTGGTCCCGATGGAATCACCGCAGATTTATTAAGAGCCGGCGGTCACAAGCTGCACAGTCTATTGGCAACTCATATGACGGACCACCTGAAGAAGGAAAGGATACCCAACCAGTGGAAGACATCCCGCAGGATACTCCTACACAAAAAAAGGCGGGAGAGAAGACCTGAAGAATTACCACCAATCAGCTTTTTAAGCGTTGTTGGGACTACCAACTACCTTCACTCCTTACCTTTGTCGACTTCAAAAGGGTTTCGATAATGTGGAAATCAACGCCGTTCCAGGAGCTTTGATCGACCAAGGGGTAGACCCCACCTACATAAGAACAATAGCGGAATGACAGGAGCAGCACAACATACAGCTGTTCGACCACCCGCTCCACATCCAAATTGGAAAAGAAGTCCGTCAAGGCGGCAATCTGTCGCCAAAGCTGTTCACTGCCGCATTGCAATGATGCATGCAGTCACTCGATTGGGATGAGAAGGGGGTACGAGTGCATGGACGATACCTTTCGGATCTCCATTTCGCAGATGATATCGTTCTATTCTCGAAATCCATTAGCGAAGCTGAAGAGATGTTGGAAGAGTTGAATGAAAGTGGAAGAAGGATAGGACTCAGAATCAATCGGACGAAGACATAGTTCATGAGGAACAGCTGGTGCAGCGAAGGCCAGTTACACTTGGATGGATCACGTAGAGGAGATCACATCCTACGTCGACCTAGGGCGCACATCAAGATGAACAACGATATGAAGGGCGAACTTAGCAGAAGACAGGGAGCGGCATGGGCAGCATTCGGACCATGAGAGAAGCTACAGACCATCTCGCTTCTCCGGGCTTACGTGCTTACCTTTTTGATGTTATAGTTCTTCCAGCTCTGTGTTGCGCAGCCGAAACCTGGGCTGACACTTCAGCAACTACGAAGACGTTACAAACAGCACACAGGGCGCTCGAGAGAATGCTTCTGAAGATAACGAAGCTTAGACAGTATAGATTTGGAATTCGGAGCGCTATCTTAGGCAACTTTCGCGTCCACAAGATCCAGAAGAGTACGTATCTAAGAACAAACATAGATGGGCCGGACATATAATGAGAAGAGAAGACGACAGATGGACCAAAAGAACATTGGAATGGATTCCAAGAGCCTCTGGACGTCCACGTGGTAGACCACCAAAGAGATGGTGCGACGTATTTGTTGACCGCGTCAACCAGTTGCGTCAGCAGCTGGAGTCTAATTCAGGATCATCCAGCAATCACAGACTCGTATCGAGAGTTCATGGATGACGATTGCCCGAAACCCCAATGAAGGTCAAAATTTGGATCCGCACGACAAGTGAGGACGGGCCATCTAAGTAATATAAGTAAAAAAAGTAACCCCTGTGGGCCATTTTGGCGAATTTTGAGGTTTCCAAATACTAGGCCACTCAAGCGAGATGGTCATTTTCCAACAAGTTAATTTTGTTTCAAAGGGAAGTTGACTACTTTTTTCGCACTTAATACAAAGAACTACCACTTTTTAGCTTACCTTAGGAATCCCACTCCAAGTATTGTTCAATCTGGAATTAAAAGCAAGTCAAAATCTCTTCCCATTTTTTACTTACAATTTCTCAGGAACAATGCTAGCTTTCGCGCTCGAATGCAATATCTTTCGCTCTTGCGGCGCGCATTGCCCCATTCTCTGGGTACTATACTTTGGGACAATGTAAATTTTTTTCGAATGTTCGAATATCGAATAATATTCAAAAATTGAAAATTTCGAATATTTGACCATCGAGTAACAACCGAAAATTGAAAATTTCGATTATTCGACTACCGAACAATACTCAAATACCGAATATCATTCGACTTTCAAATCTTATTCAGTCTTTGAATATCATTCGAATAATTTGAATGTACTGTTCATAGTGAAAAAACGGTTGACGGGTGACATTTGAACCTAAAATCCTACTCCTACAACGGTGTTGTTGAAGATGGAAATTTGAAGAAGATGATTGTTTCAAATCGTGGCTTCATAAACAATGAAATCAAGCAACTACTGCAGCACAGAATGACGGCTACCTTGCATACTATTCAGATTAGCGCACGCAGCCATTCAAACATATATTCTTATTGAGTGTTGTGAGATGACATACAGGGGTCCCAAAACTCTATAGAACTAGTTAATCAGAGCTGCAAAGTCTTTTAGCAAGCTTTGAGTACGTTCTTTAGTGCTTCCTTAGATTTACTATGTAGCGACTTATCAATCGCTATTCACTGTTATAGGGTTACCATCAGAGGTGCGATAGTCGGAGCCGAGTCTCCGCCTACCTTCACTTTTGAGCTGGTACGGGGAGACAACCTTCATTTTTGGGTTTGAAAAATTTTTTGCTGAAGCTTAAAAGAGGTAAAATAAGCAAAAAGACGCAAAAGAAAGTATTGAGAGCATATATCTATGTAGTAGGTCGATCTAGGCAGCAACCGCCATAAACCAGAATTTTAAATGATAAAATAACGTAAAATCATGCGAAATCTCCACTGGTATATATCTGGTGGTTGAAGATGTCAGCAAATAAGACTTCATAGGTTTTGAAGGGCAGGTGTTGTTCTACCTGCTAGTGAAAGAATCGAGTCGATTTGAGCAGTGGCCGTGAACGAGAGTTTTAAATAATTAAGCGATTTTAGGCTACTTAGTGACAGCTAACGTTTAGAATCCCATAAATGTGGAATGTGAAATTGCGCAATGTTGCGACTTCATAGGTTTCGTAGAGTAAAAATTGTACTATCGGACTATGTCTTAGCCGCACCGATCCACTGAGATACCGCCAAGATTCAGGCTCTTAAAAAAACAAGTAAAAACCGTTTTTTGAAGTTCAACAGATAATTCTTCAGAATTGCATGAGTCATGTTGCGACTTTATAAGTTGGATTCTCCTCTTTAAGAGCTTTCAGATGATATATAATATGTGGGAGGTTCAATGATTTTGCGGCTCTAACCCAGGGTGGAGACTTTTCACCCCAAAGTCTCTCCACCTCGCCCATGTTAATGTGTTGGCTGAAGACCGACTTTGGGTTGAAAAGTCTCCACCCCCGGGCATGTATCGTGAGAGGCGCGAAACCCTTACATGTCATATATCATCTGAAAGCTCTTGAAGGGAGAATCCAACCTATGAAGTCGCAACATGATTTATGCAATTCTGAAGAAGTTATGAGCTGTTGAACTTCAAAAAGCGGTTTTTTACCTGTTTTTTAAGAATCTGAATCTCGGCGGTGTCTTAGTGGATCGGCACGGCTAAGACATTATCCGATAGTGCAATTCTTACTCTACAAAGCCTGTAAAGTCGCAATATTGCACACCTTCAAATTCCAGATTTATAGGAGTCTAAACGTCAGCTGTCGCTAAGTAACCTAAAATCCCTTAATTTTTTTAAATTCTCGTTCACGGCCACTGCTCAAATCGACTCGATTCTTTCACTAGCAGGTAGAACAACACCTGCCCTTCAAAACCCATAAAGTCTTATTTGCTGACATCTTCAATCACCAGATTTATAACAGTGAAAATTTCGCATGATTTTTCGCTATTTTATCATTCGAAATTCTGGTTTTCGGCGGTAACTGCCTGTATCGACCTACCGCAGTGTTATAACAAAATTTATTCAACAAAATCTGTAAAGTCTCGCTGAGTTTCACTTCAAAGCATACCATTTAGTAAACACGTTTATGTTAGATATTTATGCCGCTGTACATAAAAATATGCGTTAAATGTCTCTTTTACATTTGTTTTGCTTAGTTTCCGCGCACTGGCGGCAACGACTTGAAGGATAGGCTCAGTCGACGTTAACGTTCCCCCCCCCCCCGTCGACGTTTTTGGGAGGTGAATGTCCGGCACTACCACCTTCACTTTTGGCCGGCCAGTGGTAGCTGGAACCACCTTGCTAATTGAAGGGTTTTGAGACGATGAGGTCCATATTTGCCTATAAAAGAAAATCAAAAACCAAAAACTCTTACATTGGCTTTTTGAAGTCAATGGCTTTCAATATAAAGCTAGTATTAAACTATGACTTTTTCGTAAGTCGTACCAAAAAACTGATAAATGTCTCCAATGTTGTTTAAAAACATGATGCATGTTTTTGATTGTTTGTTTTTGTTTTCTTCGAACTGCATATATGCGGTGGCTGTATGCTGAAAGCTCCTACCAATCCCACAATAATAAAACGCTGTTTCTTGCTGTAGATGCAAGCTGAAGCTAGCCCCGCAGAAACTTAAAGGTTGGCAAAAGCTTCCGTAAATGAGATACGAGGGACCAAATAGTGTGTAATTTTTGGGATCCTATATATGCTACGAATTTTCCATGATGATCATCGCATTTCCGAATAGTCAATCTTATCGAATCTTCGAATATTCGGTGTTCATCGAATATTCGATTACTCAGTAAACATCGAATGATCGAATTGATTACCATCGAATATTCGAATATCGAATAATATTCGAAAGTTGAAAATTTCAAATATTCCACTTTCAAATAAAGTACAGTGAAAAGTCTCGAATATTCGACTCTTGAATATTATTCAAAATCTCAAATTTTCGAATATTCGAATCATTCGCATTCGAATGATTTATTCGAATAATCGAATAATCATTAGAGGTCCTGCTTGGAAGCAAATTTTTTTTCTAGTTGGTTGTTGCTGAAAGTAGGCTATCCACTGCACCCCCTGCTGAGAGTAGGCGATTCTTCTGCAAACGGGAGCTTAGAAAGGGTTGAGTCATTTTCATTTCACCGCCTTGCCTTGTGGTGGCGATTGAATGAAAAATTTTTGATTATCTTAAGCGAGAGCGGATTTCGACCAGTTTCTACCGCGGACGAAGGAAATGGTCTAATTAATTCCATTTTCCTCCACTATGGATTTTCGTAGATATGTGTCAAGAACATTGCTCTAAAGTGCATAGTGCTCTATGATACGTGAGTATAAATAGCTCATAAGATAACTTTTACTCGAAAAAGACAGTCAGAAAGACTAGAAACAACTTGTCATAAGTAAAACAGTGGAATCTTATTGCTGCGCTTCTGTACCATGGGGTTGTCATATTCGCCAAAGTCTGATATGCACTATCTGAGAAAGAAAGAAACGTACCATCGCTCCAGATACGTGCAGAGGCAGAATGTGGACTTGCCCTGATTATAAAGATGACTTTCTGAACCTCCACTTCACAGCATTGTATTTTCGTACTCTCTCGTTGAGTTTATTCTTATAATCAGAGAAGCCCGCAATCCTCCTCCACACGAATCTGGGAGCCGATCGTATACTGGTAGTATTCAATGCATGTTTAGCAACTGAAACATCCAAACCTCGTATCTCTACTGGAAGTATTCAAACGCAATCGCAAGCTGCATCTGGTGTTTGAACATTGTGACCGGACAGTACTGCACGACTTGGAGAAATACCCGAACGGGTGAGTTAAAATACATTAGATTAGATTACGGATAGCCCCATGAAAGGGATTTTCACACGAAGAGTGTGGAGAGCGTGCAAGCTGCGGCTGGGGTCTCGCGCAGTGCTATTGGTGAGTCGGCCGCTGGGACTGATAGGCAAATGAGCAGTTGCTTATTTGAGCCGAAATGGGGAGGGGTTAGGTATAAAAACTAAGTCTCGCAACCCTAATTCGGCTTGATATTGCCTTCAATCGATGTGAGCAAAAAGTTTTTGCGTTCTGCATTTTACTGTATACGGTCTGTTAGTTGCTGCATGAGATTATGCACACCAATATAGGAGCAAAGTTTGCGGAAAGCTCAAAAGTTCATGCAATAATACGCATTCTGTAATGCTATGTATAGTCCACTCTTGGCACGCAGAGACAGGGCGACACTGCGGACGCTATCGACTCTCTCTTATTGAGCGCTCGTTCATCGCTTTTCTTTTCTGCTGTCCCTTCCAAATACGAACTATCTCAGTAAGGGCCGCATGCATCAACATCCCCGCCGGGAGGGGCGCAGCTTTAGAACAAAGATCCTGAAGCTCTAAATATTAGGTTGTCTCATAAGTTTTTTCAATTTTGGCTTTCTACCGCGATAAGTTACATACTTCTCAACTCTGATTAGAATACAGGGTACCGTTCGATAGAGCAAAGCAAGCTCTATAAGACGGCCTGTATATGCTCACACCAGCTTCAGCACATAACGAACTAGAAGTCGAAATCTGACAACTTCCGGATGCCTGAAAAATTGAAAACTTTTTATATCTTTGTTCAAAGAAGACTTACTACATTCTAAACTTGCTCACGCATATACACTCCACATAAGACATTCATATATGCCGTTGCTGTGTTTGCGCCTGTGCTAGAAACCTAGAAAACTGGGATTTCCAAGTTTCCAAAAAAGCGATGCTGCTATGTTCTCACATGTGCAGGTGTATGCTACAGGTCTTCATGAATACATTTGTAAATTTTCAGCTTGAACCAACGCTTCTAGGAAGCTGAAAATTTACCTATATATTTCTGAAGGCTTGTAGTATACACTTACCCACGTGAGAATATGCAGCATCGCTTTTTTGAAGGCTTGAAAAATTTAGATCTCGGTTTCTAGCACAGAAACAAACAAAGCAACGGCACATATGAATATTTTATGTGAAGTATATATGCGTGAGCAATTTAGAATCTGGTAAGTCTTTTTTGAACAAAGATATAAAAAAACTTCAATTTATCGGGTATCCGGAAGTTCTCAGATTTTAGCTTCTAATTTGTGATGTGTTGAAGCTGGTGCAAGCACATACGCGCCACCTTATAGAGCTTGCCTTGCTTTATCCAACGGTATCCTGCATTCTAATCAAAGTGGAAAGTGTGGGACTAAATGCGGTAAAAAGTCAAAGTTGAAAAAACTTATGAGACAACCTAATATTTGGATTTCACGTTGTATGCCTATCCGTAAGTACCGTTCTTCACTATAAACATCTCGAACAGGAGCAAGAGACTGTACAGGCCGCGTTTTCCATTTGTATGATCCTTTGGTATCCCCAGAGGACGAATATCTTTTTTCAGAGTCATTTTTCTTCCTTCAAGTTTCAAAAACCTTCCAAAGTTGTACTGACTATCTAACCCAATAGTGCTAAGCATTTTGCTGATAAGAACAAATAGTTGTTGTGGTATCGATTTTTTCAATAAACCACAACTTTCATCACTTGTTCTTATCAGCAACATGCCTAACACTGTGGGGTTAGATAAACAGCACAACTTTGGAGTGTTTTTATTGACTTCGAAAAGAAAAATGACTTCGGTTGCAGGGGACATAAGGGGATCATACAAAAAGCTGGAAAATGCCGCTTGTACAGCTTCTTGCTCCCGTTCAAGATGTTCATAACAAGGCCCAGCAGAGCGCTTTCACACGCTGAATATCGTTTTCTTGGGAAGAAGCAATAGGGAAATCGTAAAGTTCTCAGGGGGATTTCCGGATTGGATAGGATAGGAAGCACAATTTTTACATATAGTAAGCCCGAAATTGAGATTTCAAGCAGGGCTGAGCAAGAGGTCAGGCACAAGTCTTTCCAAAACGACCCCCCCCCCCAGTGAAAGCCCCTAAACGACCCCTCTGCTTCACCTCCAGGACCTCAGGCTGTGATAATTCGAAGAGATCAGCCGTTTTTGGGAGGTTCTTGTTTTTGGAGGTCTGTAGGTCGACTTTCTGCGATTGCACAGCACACGCAACTTGACGGCAAGTTTTGGATTTTGGATAGCCCTACTTTTAGAGCTATAATTCCCACAGGGGTGTATTGTTTGGCTACAAATTTGCAGTATTGCAAGAAGAGGCTTTGAGTTCAATACTCATAGCAGAAATGGAGCGATTTTTAGATTTTGAAAACAAGTTAATCGGGTCAGGCGCAACCCCTCAAAAGCTCAGGCGGCCTGACCTTTTGTGGGGTTGCGCCTGACCCGATTAACTTTATCATTGAAGAAGCTTTTTTATTCAAGTTTTATGTGAATCGCTAGCACAACCCTCGAAGATTCCACAGTAAGTGTTTGGACTTGATTCGACTTGTTTCGGCCTTGTGGTAATCCGTGGAGTTGAAGCAGTCATGGCGAAAAACGCGCCGGTCGGAATTTTGGCATTATTTCTTACTCCACTATTTGCAAGCGATACAAAGCGCGATTTTTAGCCTAGACTAGTAGGGAACAATACTTTGTTACGAGTACAAAAAAATTGACTTTTCTCACTTTTGAAAACAAGTTAACCATGTTTGAAAATCACGCTCTTTAGTCGTTGAGAAACACTAGATAATGCAGTAAATAATGGTTTGTAGGGCTCATAGAGGTAATTTGACGTGCTCGGAAATGATACCCATTTCACACAGCAAGCTTCCTTGATGAATTTATAATAAGACAAGGCAGAAGATGAAGATTTGAGTTTTGGCCGAAACTTCGATTGTGGAATCAATCAGTATGTTGTTTAAGACCGTTCATTCCTTCAGTACTGGTGAGGTCGCGATATTCACTAAACTAGCGCTTTTCTTCTTCACCTTAATCGTAGTCTCTCCTCAATCGAACGAATTCGATTCCTAATCACGACCCCCCCCCCCCCCCTCTGCCTTACCCCAGTACGACTCCCCAGGTCGGGCGCGCCTGACCCCACGCTCAACCCTGATTTCAAGTCATTCAACCACTAACAAGTCCATCAACATGTTGCAAACAAGAAGTGACCAATTTGTGTTCACACGGTTCCCAACGTGTTGGAATGATCTTTATGGATAAAAAAATAAATACTCAGTTTGTTTGCAACGACTAAGCAATATAGCCAACATATTTGGTATATAGCTTCGCGATGATGATGAAGAGATAAGTACGAAAAATTATGAAGGAAGTGTGTGAAGGAAGTTGTAAATGTTTTTCTATTTTAGGTCCCGCGCAACCTGGCACTCTGAGGTTGTGCGAGACAAAACAAATCACAACACTTTCTCGCATAATTTTTTTGAAAAGGTTTATATAAACCTATTCTTCACTCTAAGCTCTGTCTATGAGTACTCACTTTAGTCCAAGTTTTGATTTCACTGCTTTCCTACGGCACTTAACGGCATAAAAAACCTTTTTTTTTTCACCTTCTGTTGTTTTATCCCCAATTCTCTGCTTTTTTCAGTTTTATCCACTCATCGCTCACTGCAGATTATAAGCCACTAGCTGGCTTACCCGGCTCCGCCGTATGTTCCGTATAGAAAATTCCATTTCTTAACCGATCCGAACCAAACTTGGCACACATACACTTCGGGCCCCGGCGGGTGTCACAGTCCACTTTTCGTTATCGATTGATGTCGATTTTATCGATTTTTTGCAAAATTTGAGCTAGGGGGCTGGGATTTGGCACAGGGGGGTAATCGAGCATGCTGATTACGCGGAATCCCCATGCTCACTTACCCCCCTGTGCCAGCTCCCAGCCCCGTAGCTCAAATTTTGCAAAAAATCGATAAAATCGATATCGATCGATGACGAAAAGTAGCCTATGACACCCGCCGGGGCCCGTAGTGTATGTGTGCCAAGTTTGGTCCGGATCGGTTCAGAAATGGAATTTTCTATTCGGAACATACGTACAGACAGACAGACAGACAGACATACAGACATACAGACAGACAGACAAACAGACATTCAGCGGGAGACGGCCCCTCTGAACCGCTAACATTAGCAGCCTAATTACTGCCCGCCTCTGATTGGTCGGTGCTGCCGCCGCCTTGAGTGAGCGAGAGCTATGCTGTCGTTAGAGAGGTCTGAATTGAACTGCAAAGGCATTCTCAAGAATTAAAAATAAAGATAAAAAGAATTAAACAAGATTTCAATTCCCATGATACTGGAAAATGTTTCATTTGAGCGGCTTAGGTAAATTCTTCAGCTTACACATGCCGACTTCATGGTGTTTTGAAAACTGGGAAGGGCGAAGAAATCACGAAATGGTCTTAGAAACATGCAACCTTTCCAACTTTTTGTCTTTATAATTCAAACATCCTCACTATCATTGTCTTGTGCCTCACTTGCTTTGGAATGCCCAGAAATATTTGAAAACTCTGCTAGATTATAAGAAAGGCGAAGTAATTAGCGTTGCCCGGGCAGAGTAATTGGCGCTAGGACGGAGCGGTTCAGAAGGGCACACACCCACATTCAGCTTTATATATAAGATACTTCCGATCCACAAAAGGTTAATCGTAAAATTCCGCAGTGTCAAAGGGGACTTCGTTTTTAAGATTCCTAAATGCCACTTCGGGCTGGGCCCTGGTTCATAGTGAAGGGTGGTGAGAGTACTTACGGATAGGGATAGGTAAACAGCGTACAATCCAGATAGATATCTGGAGCTTCAAAATGTGAAGCTTTCTTCTGAAGGTGCGATCCCTTCCCCGGCGGGTATATTAATGCATGCGGCCCCAAGACGTTCAGTCTCTGCGTCCAACGGCTCGCCTATACCTGAATAGATTCCGTTTGTGAAATTTATCCGTTTTCAGTGTTCCAGATGAATTGACGAAGAAGATCACTTGGCAACTACTGGAAGCTCTACGGTTTTGTCATGCACACAAATGTATACATCGGTAAGTGTTGTAGAGCCAACGGCATTCGGTTGGTGGGCAGTAATTTGGAGGGTCGAGGTGATTCCCGGGCAGCCGCTTGCAGCCATACTGGGTGAATTTGCGAGGAACGACGAAAGCTTAACTGCGTTGCGCTACGCAGCAACCCGAATATCTTGCCATCCACTCACCACACTTGGAAGTGCGAAAATACCTAGGTCGCTCATCACAGTTCTGACAGCACAGCCAATACGATTAAATTAGAAATAACTGTGAATTATGTATACTGAAATGACGAGTCAGCAAATGGTATCCAAAGCAAATCACTCAAAATTTTAAGAACAGAAGTTGAATATTTTGGTATTTTTTCTGACATCTGATCATCTTCATCTTATGTTCCAACAGTCTTTGAAGATACGTTGTTTTACACTTTTCAGTTGTGGTGAGATTTCTCAGTTTGAACTTCTTTCTTGCTTTTCAAAAAATTTAATTCTCCTAAAATTCCTTCTTCATTCATAAACTGAACATTACTGCAACTAAATTTTGAAATTTTAGAAATGCCCTAATTTTTAGAGTCTGAAAATATCTCGCACATGTCCTTTGCAATAAGTAGGCGTGAAGTCTAATGATAATTTCAATTTACGGATTTTTCTCTCAAAGTCATCCTCTCTTAAAGGCAATGGACCGGCAAAACACAACAACTCAGGATTCTGATTCGGTAGGTTACTTATTACCCAAGATGAAAACAGTGCAGTCCCTTCCGCCCAGCATGCCTTCCCTGCCGAGAAAATTGATCTTGAACTTACACGCGCAAGCCAACCTTACACGCGCTCGGACGAGTTGGCAATGCTTCTCTCACCATTGGAGGCTGCCCAAAGCAAATGCTATGACCACTGTCCACAACGATTCAGCGTCTTTAGCCTTGCTCCACTCGTCCAATTTCGAAGGACAGGGCATTGAAAAATGCTCACTTTAGACACTTTCAAGCTCTCTGGATTGGATTTTCGGAATCAACGCGTTGGATAAGCCTGGTAGGCGAGAATTTGACTAGGTTGAGATTTGCCGAGCCACTGCCTTCAAGAAATTGGGTAGAAAATTGAAGAAAGAATAGAGGAATTGCATCAAAACGACCCAAGTTGTTTATTCTACACTATTGTGTTTTTGCTAGACGCCGATTTTATCCTTTCAGAAAAATTTGAAAGCGTAAGTCGGGCGGTTCAATTGTTCAAGTATTTCTAATCATTGTTCTGTTGTTCATTTGCATGTTTTCAAAAAACCTTCTTTGAAATCGTTTTATTGGAAATTCATTCGACGGAAATTTTTGGAGGTTACGACTGTATAATCCAGAGGCCGTATTTATCATTAAACCTGAGGTAAATTCTACCTTGAGGTAAAGTCGACTGCACGAAATCGCCCCGGTCGCTTAGGCTGAACGCTCGCGAGCGTGCCTGCAACGCGGGTGCCGTGTACAGGCGCTATGATGACTCATGCGCCCTAACGCCAATATTAGCGCGCCAGAGACATGCGCGCGGTCGCTCAATCCGGGCAATTCTGTGCAGTCGACTATAGATTCTTCCTCAAAGCACATTGTACCTTGAGCGATTAGTATTCAACAATCTACCTCAAGGTAAATTCTACCTTTCCAGCTATAAACTGACGTTTATTACGAGCACGCTATGACGTCTCAGCGGTGCTCTGACAGGGAAAGTCACTTAACTTGGGTTGGCCTTTTGGAAAGCGACACATATAATCGGAATCAGCTCAGAACGCTGATTTCAAATCTGCTATTCATAGTTGCGAAGCATTACTCTGAAGCGAGTTTTGAGCTTTTCTGAACAAGTTTGCGTTTGACCAACTTACGGATGACACGGTACATCCTACGTCCTACGTAGTGGTTCAAACGCAGAATACACCTTGCCAAATGAATGTTACTTCGTACTTCCACCACTTTTTTGAGCAGATTCCATCTACAGGTCTTTTTTCCATATTCAGTTGTATGCCAATGAAACATGCCAAAAAGCTCATAGCTGCTTCAGAGTAATGCTTCGCAGCATCATATTTGAAATCAGCGTCTTAAGCTGATTTCAGATATATGCGTCGTTTTCCGAAAGGCCGACCTAAGTTAGGTGCCTTCCATTGTAGATTTCTTATTGTCCAACTCTTATTCAGACAAAATTAATTTACTTTGTGTCCTCCGGATCCAAGCTGACATGTTTTGGCGGGAATACAGTGTGAAGGACCTTCAAATTTTCAAACACGAAAAAATGAGAAGATTCCATGTCTCAAAAGACAAAGGCTGGTCTATAGCCATTTTTCTCGTTTACTACATGTTTTGACAAAGCGTGAGTTCGCATTTCATCGAACTTATAATCCCTGGATATAGCTCAGCTCACGCGACGAAGTCGTCGCCATTTATTGTAACGACTTGCTCGAAGTGACGATTGGAAGCGGCGATTGAGGATCGGAAGTGTGCATATCTCTGACGCGGTTTCGTGTACTTGCACTTCATACAAAAACATTCATAAATGGCAAGGGGCAATATTTTAGACAAAAACATTCATAACTCGCAAAAAACAATAAGATACACCAATAAAACCGAAAAAATCGTTTGGAAATCACGCGACGGTCGCCCCGTCGCTCGCCGCAAATGCGCGACCCGACATCGCGCCGATTCGGCAAAATCGCTAAGTGAGCTATGAACGTCGAAACATGTGTAGCTATCCGTCATGCCGCACAGTCATCACAAATGTGTCGGGACCCACACATAACAGCGTGACATAGAACACTTCTATAATGGCAGAACGCGACGCGACGATATCGCATAAGCTATGCCCAGGGCCAAAGGGTGGATACAGGTTGCAGTGGCATTCAAAAAATGTGTACAGGATGTTCCAAAGTCTTCGAGCCCAATTTTGCGACACTGTAACTTAGTTGATATGCTTCCCATTCGAAACATCGTGAAGATGAGATTACTTCATGAAGAAAATTTGGTTTTTCTAAAACAAAACTGCGATACTGCAAGTAAAGAGAACCCGTTGTTCGAATGTATACAATCTTGTCTTATGTTTCGCTGGTCTTCAGTTATCGAAGAGCTAGCTCCTCTCTAAGTTTACGATATAAGGGTGTTCCAAAAAATGTTAGCACTGTTTGATCACTAGTAACTCTCTTGCATTCCCGTCTTTCGCCGAGCTTGAAGTGCCATTCTGTAGAGCGAGGATCAACTTAGATTTACAACATGCAGTGAATCTCCGATCTTTCTTGATTACTGTAGGATTTAAAATTTCAGCATATAGCCACTGTGGAGCAGTCTTTTCAATGAAAAAATTTCAAAAAATTCAAAAATTCGTGTAGCAGGGTTTCCAGGCGTGCTACTTTCAACAAATTACTTTTTACAAGTTTTTCGAGCCTTTCAAATAATGTAATCACACTTGTGACAAACATTGAAAAAACAGATGTTACTCTAAACCTGAAATAACTTATGAAAGAAGCATTACAGTGAAGTGCAAATTTATGTTTTAGAATAAGCGACTTTTAGTCCTGTACAAGAGTTTCTGGTGTTTGGTTTCCCCTCAGAAGCAAAAATCGCTTTCAGTTTACTAAAATGCTTCTCGAAGTTCCAACCGTTATTCTACAGTAACCAAGAAAGATGGGAGATTTTTTCCATAAGTAGAACCTCGCTTTACAGAATGGCACCTCAGATTCGGCGAAAGACGTGAATGCTAGAGAGTTATTAGCGATCAAACAGTGTTAACATTTTTTGGGACACCCTGTACAAAACACCGGTTTATCGAAGAACCTGTAGAATTGAACAAATTTTTGGAATGGTATCCTGCCACTGGCCCGAAAAACCTCATTGATATCAAATCAGTCTAAATGGCGGATTTCGGCCATGAGACTTGTGTTCTCTATAAAACATCGTTGAATAGTCACGCCGTTCACGCCATAATCGCCGTTTTTATTGTATTCAAGAATTTTTCAATTTTTCAATCTTTATTCGAATGGCCCAACGTTCAAAAATCTCACCAAAACAAACCTGTTCGGTACGAGCAAAAGTGAAGAATACATACAATGCTCAGTTTTGAAAAAATTGGAAATTCAAGCTGTAATCAAGAAGGTTTTATAAGTTTAGTTTTTGAATCAAGGTTCCTCTCTTGTTTGGTTTTGCATTATTTATCTGCTGGCCCCTTTCAAAGTCTGCGTGAGAAATGTTTTGAAAAAAATAGAAAGGAAACTTGGCCATGACCTTAGGTTTGCAGACCTCGTAATTTATCAAGAGCTTGTGGCTGACGTATGGCGTTTTTCCGCGCTTTGAATATGTTCGGCTTTTTTGGAAACATTGGAGTTTTTTTCGGCAAAGTTTGTCCCTTAGAACACAATTGATGTTTTTCAACACATACTCCTGTGCTTCCAGCTACAATGATGAGATTAATGAACCCTACTGCAATGCCATTTACCCACCTCAAGATGTAATTTTCGCATTCATCACAGTTTTTCTCTCAAGGTTAGATTTATCTGTGCCAGAATTATAAGAATTGACGCATGTTAGGAGCGTTGCATGACGTACATGCGGTGAATTGCTTTGTATGTACCCGCATGATATTTACACGAGGAACTTCTTGTCTTGGGGTGCAAAGCGTAACATTTTTTAATTTCGAAACTGTTTTGGCTACGTAGTCAAGTCCCAGGCTCCAAGAGTTTTTATCTGACAAATTTATTGTTTTTACGTTGTGCTTTAGATTCCTAATGTTCTTTCTTCATCAGCAAAACCTGCTTTCTGAGGATATCCCCCTTGTTTGGTTATCAAGCAATATCTCAAAGGTTCCAAATTCTTCAAGATTTTGATTTCTCAGCAAGGTTGATTTTAGGTTGAATTTCTGAGTTATTTTTGCCTTGTATTTTGGCATTACTTCAGTTCATATAGATTAGAATTTTTTTCATAAAGTTGCGAAGTTTGTGAAAATAATTATACTATATATTAGCTTGTGTGTGAAGGCAGATTGAAAAACTCTAAAATAAATCAGCTT